AAAAAACAAGTTATAAATTTCTAAATACTGTTACTTTAATACTACAAAATTAATTTATAATTTCCAAATAAACTATAAAATGAAGATTTATATCAATCTTGATAATTTTAAAAAAATATTGACTTTAACTTTATTAGCAACAAACTAATCTCAAAAACAAAAAATATATTCAGTCTTAGTTAGATCTTTATGCTCTTCTAACAACTTTTCTATATTACTTTGGAATACATTAACAAAAGATAATTTTAATAAAAAAACAGTAACATTATATATAACAAGTGGCTGACATAATATAAAAAACAACTTTTGTATAATTACAAGTTGTTGTTTTCAACACCTTAATACCTTCTTTGATTGTTTTACCAACCTCTGATTTTCTTATCTAAACATGCTAATAATCTTACTAATCTTTGTATTTATTACAATAAACCCTAGTGCTAATATAAAAATATATACTAATAACTCTTTACTTATAAATATAATCACCTTTATACAATTAGTTTAATCATATAACTATTTTAGTTTAGACAAACAGCAACATATCTACCTTCTTTTAATACTAAAAGCAATAATATATAACCAAATTCTTATAGTTATATTTGACAAAAAACTTTAAATTTCTCAAAATTAAAACAATATTTTCTTATTAGATTCTATATTGTAAAAATTTTTATATAACTGTTTTGTTCTAAAGCTTTTTAGTAATTCTTATACATATTTGCTAAAAACTATTTTAAACCAAATTTACTGAATTACAAACAGGATGGCTTGGTTTAACCAATAGCAAATCTTATACTGGTATACTTTATAAAACAAAATTAACTAATCACTAACTCTACAATAAATATTATATAAGAAGAAACTTCTGTTTTAGTGACTAATTTTTTTTTTTAGTACTAAAAAACTTTAAAATTAATTACTATCAGAAGAGCTGTCTACTCATTTTTTTTACTAGAGAAATGCTACTAAACATTCAAACTATTTTTGTCTAAAATGTTATAATATACTTGAAGATATAATAATCTTCTAACTTGCTTTTAGAATTATATATATTTTATAACTATAATAAAAGATGTAGTGCAAAAAACTTTAAATGACTTAGAAATACCATACTATGTTATAAACAGTTTTACTTAAGCTTTTATTTCAAACTATATTAACAAGTATATACTACTAAAACTAATAACTATTAATATATTGACATTTTTTGAAAACAACAAACAAAAAAATAAATACATTTCTCTTATACATTACAATATTATTACTATAATATACAAAGAACTTTGGCTTACTTTTAAAGTAGTATAATATAATTTAGTTTTTTTAATCTTATTACTACTATAGCATTTAATATTAGCTAAAACCAAACCAATTCTACTATTAGTATTAAATGAAAAAATACAGTACTATATTACTAATGAACAATCTTTTCTTTATTATCTTATTAAAAACTAAAGATTTACTAACCAATCTAACAAAGAATAAGTTAAAAGTAAAGTAACTCTTATTTTTATTTCTTCTAGCTTAATTTTTTCAATATGTATTTTATATATGTAAATTAACTAATTAATAAAAAGATAGAAAATAGATCTTTTTTTTTTTTAAAAAAAAAAAGTTAAATATATTTAATTTTTTTCAAAAATCTAGTCAGAGTTTATAATTTCTACTAAGTCTCAAATAGAAACTGAACTTTAAACTAAGATTTTGTCATAGTCAAGAGCTAAGCCTTAAACTAAAGATTTATTAGATATAGAAGATGTTAAAGATTTACAAGAAAGATCTTTAAAAAATTAAATTTTTATATTTTAAATTTTTTGTTTTTTTTATTTTTTATTTAATATTTTTTATTTTTTATTTTTTTATATTATATTTTATATTTTTTTGTTGTATTTTTATATCTTTATTTTTTACATTTTTAATAAATATAATCAGTTTTATTTACAATTATAACTTTAAATTTTTATAGTTAAATTAATAAAAATATCTAAATATGTTTGTATAATTTTAAATTATTTTAAATTATTTGTTATTTTAAAGCTTTCAAAGTATTTTGAAATATTTTAAAATATTTTTAAATATTTTAAATTTTTTTGAATTTATTCATAAAAAATATATTTAAATAATAGATTGCAATTAAAAAGTATAAATTTTATAATAAAAATTAGTAGAAAATTATTATTACTTTTGTATAATGTTGGAATACTAAAAGTTTTTAGCATTATATAAAAATTATATAGTTATAAAGAAGAAAATACCAATAGCTCATGATTTACTAAACCAATTTAAATAATTTTATTACTATTATAACTGGAATAACTTGTTATATAATTCTTATTAAAAACTTAAAGAAAGTTTACTTGATATAAAAAAACTTTTTATTATAAGTTAGTTGCATTTCAACTCTATAAAAAAACTATATCAATTTCTGATAATTTTTATTATTAAATTCACTATTTTTATACTCTTTAAATATAATTTACCTTTTAATATTTTTTATATTATTAATTATTTTTAATATATTTCAAATAGTTTTATTATAACCAATCAGGTTCTACTCATCATTAGAAGCTCGAAACATCTATATGAAGTGTAATATTACATATTACATGTATATAGAGGAATGTTAATAACCAGTATCATATAAGATTTTGATATAAATTCATAATAAGATCACCAGATGTAGAAGACCAATAAACTCAGAAAATGAAATTCTACTTAGAAATTCCTGAGTAAAGAGGTAACACAGTCCTTCAACAGTATTATTAGACTGATAAAAGTCTAGAAAACCCTAATAAGAAATAAGGCAAATGTAATCAGATAGAAAAATATATGAAGAAGTATATGACCAACCAGGCCACCAGAATTGCTAGAAGAAAAGAATACCAAAAGATATATTATATCAGACTATCTGAATTGAGAGTTTGGGAAGTTTGTTAAATTCCAACTTGAATAGTAAAGGGATGAAGAAAAGAAGTTAGAAAAATAGGTACCAGAATTTGAATAAACTTTACAAGAATAGAAATAGTGTAGTATAGCAGTTTAACAGATAACTTCTATGACTACAAGTATTAGATAACCATAGTATGTTATATAAAACTAAATAAGTATATGTAGGATGTAAAGACTCTAGTAAGTCTTCTGTCAAGAATAAATTAGTTCTAAGATACTAATAAGCATCAGAAACTTAGATAAATGTAGCTTTGAGATGATCTTATAATATAAGATAGATTGCATATGCAGAGAGTTTAAATAGACAAGACTTCTAGTTAGCTTGCAGATATATTATCTAGTATAGAACTTATATAGTATAAGCAAACTACTTAAATTAGACACCAAAAGTGCACATGTGGTTAGTTGTAACCTCCTATATAAAGGAATTCCTGGTGGTACTCATGTTCTATAACTTGAATAAAACAGTCACAACTCTAAGATAAGAAACTTTAACTTAAAAAAAAATTTACTATATTTTGAATTTTTTTATTTTTTAAATTTTTTGCTTTATTTTGAATATTTTTAAATATTTCTAATCAGTTTAGATGCAGATAAAGTTGTTTAAGCTTTAATTCTTGAATATAATTTTTATTTTGTATTTTACAATCTTAGTATATTTTTAATATATGTATATTAATATGTATAACTAAAATTAGTAATAAAGATATGAGTAAGACTTCACCTTAATACCAAAAAAAAAAAATAAATATTTTTAATAATTTTATAATTTATAAAATTTTATTTTTATGATAAATATTTTATTATTTATTTTATTTTTATATAAACTATTTATAATATATTTTAAATAAACTTTTCTATATTTCAAATCTTTTTTAAATTTAATTAATCTTATATATTAATCTTAATATTAAAAATTCTATATAAAAATATATAAAAATTTTAGAAAATTTAAAAATATAATAAAAATATATAAAATTTTAGAAAATTTTAAAAATATAAGTATATAAATATTATTAAAAAATATATTCCTTTACTAAATAATCATTAGTTTTATCAAAATAAAAAATTATATGAACTTGATTTTTAAATGCTTCAATATTAATTATATTAAATAATTCAGTTAATTGAAATCTAGAACATTTATAATTATATAAATCCTTTTTAGATTTAAAATTATACTACTGAATTAATGCAAGATTTAATATCTTTTTGTTAGATTCAACTTTTATTAATAAATATATCTAAAATTAAATATTAAAAATTTAAAATATATTAAACAATATCTGTCTATAACAAATTCCTTGATCTATATCTTAATGATGATCAACCACGCTCTATATCGATATAATTAGTTATTTATGAGTATCTTGCAATCCGTTGATCAGAATTAAGTATTTTTTTACACCATTCAATCCGGTATAAGAATCATTGGTTTTTAATCGATAGACTTCAATAATATGTGATCCGCCACATTATCCATCCCGCCAGAATACCACTCTCTATATTATATAATAATGTAATAGAATTGATAACCTTGGTAGAACTCGTTTTTTGGTAATTATTGTTATAGTAAGCCTCAGAAAAACTGATAGTCGCTAATCCACTAACTCGAGATCGGATTGTTGATGCTAGTCACACCCAAATCGAAAATACATAATGATAATGTAGCTTTGAATGTTAATTAAAGACGTAATTCGTCTTCTCTTTATTTTAATTATATTCATGTGTCTTTTTAGATACAATTAGTGATCGAAGATCAATTTGTGAGGAACAATTAAAAGGTAAAAATTTGTGTGGCTATGAGAGATTCGAATTTCAACCCACATGACCAAAATTTTATCATTCACAATAATATCGATATACATTTATTGTATAACGATAACACAAATACAGCTACTGTATTGGAATAATCTAGTTGAATTCCTGTAATCTTTTATTTTAAAATATTGAATAGCAAGATTTTAGGCGGATCTGAAGTGTTACAATTTTTATATCCAGTGGATATCACGATTTCATGCTTTACTGATAAACGACAGATATTGCAGATTATGGATTGGCCTCGAGCCACCTTGGTGACTTTCTTGGGTTCTCCCTTTACAACGTATGTACTACTTTAACTTTCGTGTGTCCCTATAAAAAATTCTTCAACTGCATTTAGTGAAAAACGTGCGTCACACTTTTGATATTACCCGTGTTTTTGGTGCATTAAGGTGATCGATCAACTGTGTATTATATAAAAATTAAGTGATGAGAATAGTCACCTTTTTATAACGATTAAAAAATTTTATGTTCTAGTATTAAATAAAATGGAATTGTTGTAAAGAATTAACATAAAATTTAGACGAATTAAATGGTACCCAAATCGATCGATTCTAATCACAGGGTCACGATATATGAAACGTTTGAATATTGTACAATAATCCCTATAGATGCAGATTTATTTACTAGTTACTGCTCAATTGCGTTTTATTTTATGACCGGATTTTTTATATAGTAACTAAGGGTGATGTCATAAGTCTGCATCTATATCTAACCCCAAGATATCGAAGGTGCGTCATAACACATCTTTATACGTATGATACTGCATATAGTGCTTCGATCCTGATCCGCTTCCCCATTGAGGCGTAGGGAGGATGCCAACCTCTTTTTTTGATCTTTTCCGTTTCCATTTGCGCCACGATATAGTCAAAAAAAGAGATCTGACATCAATTATTATATATATAAGAAACGCCGAAGAAAATCAGACTTCGAGCTTTTAAGTTAATTATTTATTGTTTACCATATTCATATGACACATAATTATTTTTTGATCCGGCTGAGTCTAGTAAATAGTAAATAAAATGAAAGCTCAAAACTGATCTTTTACAATTATAGGCATTATTTGGGATCTTTAAAAATTTTAATAGAAGTCTGTTTCAAAACCCTCTGATTTGTCACAACTATCTCGTTTTACAATATTGACTTAACTAGATTGAGACTAGTTTTGGTGATTTATAATATCTTTTTTTGATATATATATATATGAATAAATAAAAGAAAAAGCATATTGTCCGTAATAGGAGTTTTATTTGTTGAAAGTTTTTAAACAAATTATTGATGATTTCTATTCCTATAACGATAGCTCTTCGTTAATGACTATGGCAGCACAATTCAGTAATAGCCGATGTATGATAAAAATATATTTCAGTTTCTTAATCACAATATTATTCTATTTAAGCTTTTTGTACCGATCGCTGTTTAATTACTCCGAAGATTTAGATTTACAAAAAAAGTTTAGACTCTCTAATCGCACACTTGGCTTTGACCATATTTATGTTGTTCATCTTGACCATCGAACGGATAGACGTGAAAGATTAGATGAAATAGCAACATATCATGGATTAGACTTTGATTATTTTTCTGCCGTTTCTAATCATGATGAACACATTCTCAAAAAGTATGGTTCAGCGGATATGAGCCCTTCTCAAAAGGCTTGTTATCTAAGTCATTATTCAATCTATAAACGGATGATTGATAGGGGATATAATAGCGTCTTAATTTTAGAAGATGATGCAGACTTTGAACTTAATATTACTGATATTATGACTGATATTCATCGTGACTTGCCTGCTTCTTGGGAAACGTTATACGTGGGTCATTGCTTTGAAGGTATCGGTGAACAAGTCGGAAAAACTTCTTCTGTCCATAGATTATATAAGTCTGTGTTTCCAATGTGCACGCATGCTTATGCTGTTTCGTATTCTGGTGCTCGCAAGCTAATAGAACTGCTTGATCCTGTGATTCCACGTGGAACGATTGATTATTCTCTTGCGGTAGTAATTAGTGAAGGAGATGTTTCTTCATATAGTGTTCATCCACAACCTATTGTGCAATGGATTGCTGATGACAATCCAACCGATATCCCTAAATCTCTACCACTATTCTTTAGTTTATTAAATTCAACTTTACGCTTTCTTGGGCATAATACATAGCACTTAATGTAAATGTAAATACATAATGGTAATATATACATATCTATTTTTTTCTTTCCCTTTTTTTTTTTTTTGCGAATTTCTATTCTGACCCGGGTTAAAATAACCTGCCATATGATTTGTGAATGTGATGATATGATGGTCGAAAAGATTAAAAACTTATTTTTACTTAGGAATGTTCTGCTGGACAAATACATTATTAAGACAGATTAAATGTGACTAGATTATTGAGCCATAGTTCTATTTTTTTTTATACGTACATAAAAATATCAAAGTCAAAATTATATAAGATTAATTTTGACTGGTCGATGTCATATAATCAAATAATAACTAATTTTGACTGGTTAATTTATATAATATCTAGAAATTAGTATACTGATACTTTACATATAAAATAGACAATATTTGAACGGTTATAACCAGTCAGTGTTGTAAAATTTTTGTTCTATTAATAAAAATTATATTCTATTCTAGTATTTATTATTTTATTTTATTGTTCTATTTGTTTATTGCTACTAATTATAATTAGTAGTTGACATTTTTTTGTTCTATTCTAATTTCTGTTGCTCTATTATATCATTTTATTTTCTATTGCTGATTATAACATTCAAAAAAGAATTTTTTTTGCAATTTCATTATTTTTAATTCATAGAATCTATTCTTTTTGATTTATGAAAAAAGGCCTACTTTTTATTAGAGTTAAAAAAGTTAAATTATATGAAATAGTATTAAAGAAAATGTTTTTTTTATGAATCAAAAATCATAGACTTTGTAAATCAAAGACTAAAAAATATAATTTGTTACAAACTATCAATTTGAAAGTCTTTTTTAAAAAACAATTTTTTATATTATGCTATTTTAAAAAATCAATTAAAAATAATAAACCTTATGAATTAGAACTAAAAATTATAGTTTATTATAAATTTTAGCTTAAAAGATTTTTTTAAGAGTTATAACAATTTAGTGAAGTGGATAAGTTGTCAATTTCCAAGTAGCAAGTTGTAAGTTTAAAATCTAGTAATAACCAAAATTTTAACAATTATTTGTGTTATAGTAATTATTTTTTATTAATTAGTTAGAATAAAATAACTGTAACTATAGTTATATTAGCATAATTGGCATATTATAAAGTTTTTGTATAATCTTAGTTATATAAAGAAATGCAAACTGGTACTAGATAATACAAATCTAAGACAAGTTTTTATATTCATATAAATTTGTAAGACTGAAAAAACAAATCTTATTTGAAAAAATCTGAATAGAAAGATAATATAAATTTTTAATAGTATTACTATAAAGATTAAATCTAAGAAACAAATATTGATATAAAGAAATCAGTTTATCAACAACTCTCCCCGACGATCACTTGTACCGAATTTCACACCAACAAAAACAGAAAACTTATTGGAGAAAGTAGAAGAGGC